AAATTTGCAATTTTAGTATAACTTAGGGACGAAAAGGACAAAAAGTGCAACACCAATGATAACTTAAGGACGAAAAATGAGCATGACCAACACTCAATGACCAATTCTACAATTACTCTATAACTTAGGGACGAAACGTACAATTTCCCCCCGAAATAATCAAATAAGGAGTTGTTTGGAAATCAGGAAAAAAACTTTTAAAAGATGGATCATTTTTAAGAAAATAGTTTCATTATTCGTGTTCAGCTGCATTATAAAAAATTGTATTGATGTGTTTTGGTTCATTTTTTAGAAAATGAGTAGAATTGTATAATTAATAATTTTAATTATTTTATTTGGTAACCTTGTTCCTGAAGTTGATTGCTGAAACCCTAATTCTCATGAAACCTCTCTTCACGAAACCTTGCTTCTTTCTTTTTTTTGAGTGTTTCTTCATCTGGTGGTCGCCGGCCTCTGGCCGAAACTTTGAGCTTTTGACGGAACTTTGTTTCTTGGCTGGCGGTCTCCTATTTTTTTTTTTTGTTTTTTTTTTTTTTTAGTTTCATAATAAAATTAGTGCCGATTTAGCCACCAGCCCTTCAAGGAAGTTGCAGTAGTTCCAAATATCTAAAGCTTAAGGATTCCGTCAAATCTAGATAAAGAAGTTGTTTGATTCCCATGGATCCGTAAAATAAAGTTCAAGAGGTGTACTGCTGCTTCTCTTTTCTTTTGTTCTGCTTTTTTCTGTGTTTTTCTCTCGTTTGTTTTCCTCTCGTTTCTTTTGGCGAGTTCTTTTCTTCATAAGTGTGAAACATATAAGTTGGTCATGGCGTGTGTTAACTTCATCCTGGGTGACAAAGATGACAATGTAAAAGAACATCTGCATCTCAGCTCGATAGATATATTGTCAATGAACGACGGATGAAAAATATATACTCAGGTGGTGTGCAAGACTTTCCAACCAAAGTTAGTTTTGACTATGTTTGACCAATTCTTCAATGATATTAAAGAAGCGTTGAATTCATTTAACGAATTCAGCTACAAATTTGTGAAACAGTCTGCGATTCAAGTTCTTTATAGCATTGCTAGGGAAGTTGTTTCTATGTCTGTCTGTAAGGAATGGTATACCGTTCCATCTATCCTATTTGTAATCGCTTCAGTTTATGATTAAATGAATGAACTTCTTTATTTTCAAAAAACCTTTTGGTTTCCGGTGGATTGGAGCGAAAACCAGTATTTATTGGTTTTCGGCGAAAATCAGACTTATTTTGGCGAAAATTGTGATTTTGGCGGAAGGTTTTGCTTGGTTGTGGTTGTTGGAAGGTTTGTGGAAAATGACTTCCGCAAAATTTTGACGAAAGTCATTTTCCACCAAAACAACCCTATTTTTCTAAGTCAATAAAAATGATTTCCATTGATTCGATTTTCTAGACACATCCAAACACTAGAAACTCGAAAAATGATTTTCAAATATCATTTTTCGGGTTTCCAAACACACCCTAAATGTGTTCCTATACGCAACAATCATTATTCCATGTACCATGGTCCACACAATTAATTTACTTTAGTATATTAAATCAATGGTCCATAGAAATTTTTATATCTATATCTATATTAGTTTTATTACATGTACTCCAAAATTCTACTCCTTCACTTTTATTCCATAATGTGGCAAATAAAGATTTGATATTTTCATAATATGAGTCCCATGAAAAATGTCTACATCAAAAATTTGTGAGAGAGATCAGAGAAAAATTTGGGAGTAGAAGAGTCTATGTAGTATTTTCGTGTGTGTGCGTGCGTTCGTGCGTGTCCATTAGCACACAAAATCAGCACAAACTTTTGGTATAAAATACCAAGAAAACAAATACTGTCTAATAAAGTTCAATACCCTCTTTATATAAACAAATTAAAACTTCAGCCTTCCAAACCACATTCCAACCAAACATCGTATTATTGTTTCGATCTATGTTTCTCTCTCTGATCCCTGGCTTCCATCGCTACTCATTTCTCAATCTTCTTCCTCTTATTGCTTCCATCCCCATTCCATCTCCGTGCAAGAGACATCCAGTTTTTCAACAAAATGTCCAACAACAACAACAACGTTATTAACAAAATCTAGACAATTTTCATGAAATTCAAGTTCTGAAATTTCATTCTAGTTTAACTAGAATGTTTCACTGGAATTTGGTTAGTAATTCGATTCTAATTCTTTCGTAATAATTCGTTTAGTAAACTAACATTTCATTATTATTTTAATAATAATTCTTATTATTGTTTTATTACTTTATCTTGTTTTTTTTTTCTTTTGTTTTGTTGTACAGAGATCCGCAAATCAGCAAATCAAAATGACAATGTCATGATATTGATCCTGATGATGGATGAACAACTGAACAAGATATGACTTTTGAATTTAGATTGCTATGTTGATTGCGTTTGAATTGTTATATTGGTATCTAATATTTAGATATGGGTTATGTGATGTTTCATGTTTACAATCTTTGAACATTGGATTTAAACTATGTGATGCTTCATGTTTCATGTTTGTAATGTTTCAACATGAGATTTGAATTATGTGATGCTTGGTAATTAGTAGTATGTTTGAACTTGGAATTGCTATTTTGTTATATAATGTTAAGATTTTGGATATAGATTATGTGAATATGTATTGTTTAATAGTATATTCGGAAAATTAAGAAATGTTGAAATTTGAGAATCTTATACGGACCGGAATACTGAACCGAACTCTAATGTTAAACTGAATGGTTTAATTTTTTTAAAACCGAAAAATCGAAATCAAAACTGAAAAAAATCGAACCGCCCACCCCTAGAATAAGATTTTCATTTACTTATATGTGAAAATGTAATACTTTTACATTTTGATTTAAAAATATTACATTTTTATCAAAAGTATTAGAGTTTTTACCCATTTTGGTCCCTTGAATATGACTCATTCTCAATTTTGCATTTCGACTTTCAATTGCACCCAATGTGGTCCCTTGACTTTTAAAAATTACTCCAAATTGGTCCTACGTTAGGTTTTGCGTCAACTGACGGATAAATGTGGGGGTATTTCAGTCAATTCACCCCAATATTAATGTTATTGTGAAATTTTCCCAATTTCATCGCCACCGAAGGAATCCAACCGCCGCCGACGGTCAGCTCACTGGAAAAACTGAAGATCTCCGACATGCACCACAGCCTCACCAACCACATCCACCGCCGCAACTACCGTGACCTCTACCTCCGTCACTGCCATCATAAAAAAGACATCATAACAGGCAAAATTGATGAAATTATAAAGAAGCTTAGAAAGAAAAAGGCAAAATTGATGAAATTATAAAGAAGCTCAAAAAGAAAAAAGGCAAAATTGATGAAATTATAAAGAATCTCAGAAAGAAAAAAAGGCAAAATTGATGAAATTATAAAGAAGCTTAGAAAGAAAAAGGTAAAATTGATGAAATTATAAAGAAGCTCAGAAAGAAAAGACATCAAACAGGCAAAATTGATGGAATTATAAAGAAGCTCAGAAAGAATGGCGAGCAACCACCGTCATCCCCGCTGCTGCCTCGCCGGCGATTGGTATGGATTGATTCCTCCGCCGTGACTGCCGCTGCTTCGAACCCTATCAGGAATCTCAGACCCAGTCGCGACTGCCGTCTCTCGCTATCTCCTTAGCGCGATGACCGCCGTCAGCCCGGGCGAAGAACCCAACCAGGCGATCCGGATTGGATTTCTAGACGTTGAATGCGATATTGGGGTCGACATCGTCGTCGTAGACGAGGACGGCGCGGGTCGAGATCAATTTCTGCGAGTAGAACCGGAGGTTGAGGCTCGTAGATGGCCGCCGAATCACTGAGATTGAGGCGATCCGGATAGATGTGAGGTTTTGCGAGAGCTCGGCTAGGGTTTGGCATGAAGTGGAGGGGTTGCTCCAGAGAATAATCACGGCAGAGACGGAGTCTGTGACTGTGGAGTATGTTGCACCGATGGAATGGAGTAGTGGAATCCGATGCTCAGAGTAGCCGTTGATCAGAAAAGTCGCCCACAAAGCCCTAGAATAGTCATTTAGTGTGAATTGACTAAAATACCCCCACATTTAACAGTCAGTTGACGCAAAATCTAACGGAGGACCAATTTGGGATAATTTTTAAAAGTCAAGGGACCACATTGAGTGCAATTGAAAGTCGAAATGCAAAATTGAGAATGAGTCATAGTCAAGGGACCAAAATGGGTAAAAACTCAAAGTATTATATTTTCTCTAATAAGTAACAAACACTTACCACCTTACTTTAATACTTTTGATGGGAAATATAAGTATGGCATTTGCATGTTGATCTGATCCGGCCCGTCTCACGGATAACGAGGTGAAACGGTTTCACACAAGTGTGACCCTTGTTAAAACTAAGAGATTGAAAAACTTAGCAAGTGACAAATAGTCACCACTCGTAATAGGTGAAACGGTTTCACACAAGTGTTACCCTTATTAAAATTATAAGAGATTGAAAAACTTAACAAGTGACAAATAGTCACCACCTGAAAACAAAATAGGTGAGAAAAAAAAAAACAAAACAAAAAAACAAAAACAAAAACAAAAACAAAACAAACAAACAAACAAAACAAAACAAAAAAAAAAAGGTGGAGAAAATAGAGAGAATATATTATAATTTATAATAAAACATTACAATAAATTACGAGAGTATCTATTTGTGTGTCTGTATATTGAAAATCCTAATATTTATAGTAACATTGAGAAATTAAGCCTACTAAGAATATGACTAGTGTTTCCAATTATTCAAACACATCATCCCACCTCATACAACATTTATACCCAAAGAAACCTTATCACATAGTTCACAAAAGAAGCACACGCGACTTCCAAACTATTGAAACATGAATAAATGCTATTCTGCTGGCCATTGACCAGAAAAATGTTACTATTGGTACATAAAAAGTAAATTATATCTTTTTATGCTTCAGTTATTGAACTACCAGGGAATCACTAAGCAAAATAATGAAAAACTGACAGTGAGAAGCTTTAATATGGCTGTCTCACTTGATGCAACTTCAACAACGTTTAATCTATATTTAACACTAATTACCAGTTTCTGCAAATCCTTGCCGCCACCGTTGAAATGGAAGAATTTATACGGCTCCCATAAAATAGAAACTCTGAAAACAAGATGCTTTTCAGCGAAAAAAAAAAAAAAAAAAAAAAAAAACCTTGATTTGCAAGGAAAACTGATAAGCTACAAAACAGTGAAGGAAATGCTCGTCTATGTCTAAAATCAGCGATATATAAACTAGTCGATATATAATTTAGTATATAATATGGCCGAGTCATTGCTAGTCGGGCGGCTGGGGGCGCCTAGCACCGCCTAGGCGGCCGTGTTAGGCGCCGACTCGACCTAGTTGGCCAGCCAACTAAAAGGTGCCTAGGGGTGAAATCCCCTCGGCCTAGGAGGGCTTAGGCCACCGCCTAGGTCGATTTTTACAACACTGGCCCTCTTTTCTAAATAATACTGTATTCTTCACCAAGGTTCCAAAAAAAAAAAAAAAAGTCCATGTAGAGAGTAAACAAACAGAGGGAGTTATGCCATATCAAGATGGATAATTGGATATATACCAGTGCATTCCACAAAATTCACTGAGGATCAGATGATTGAATTCCATGGCGCTTGAAAAACTCTCTAAATCCATATGCACTGAGATCATAGTTGAACTGGAAAATTGAAAAGGGGAAATTAGACAACAAGAAAATAAGTGTTATCAGAACAATAGCATTAGTAACCCAAAATATAGAATCACATAAAACCTTAACCCACTAAACTCTTCTAAAGTCATGCATTTGATTGTCACATACTGACCACAAAACGAAATGAGTAATAACACATTAGGAAGAAGGAAATATGCTGCACACTAATGAAACATAATAAAGTTATGAGAACAGACAAATGCAGAACTACTACAATCATGGAACAGATATCTAAATAATTTGGAAAAACATCCAACTTCCTATGCAAGTACGCTACAGGGAAGGTTTGAAAAATCCTACAAGTGCAAGAAGAATCCTCTCTAGAGCTCACTTATTGGGTAAATAATAAAGAATATTTGGTTCTGCATATATTATGTTTAGGCTTTTTCGTTTTTGGTGCATAATAGGACTGATGAAGCTAGAATACATGTAGCAATACCAACTACATAGGGAATAAACTTAGTTGATCTCAGTAGTATCCTGCAATTTGGGTTGGGGGAATTTTAGTCAGTTCACTAACAGGCATTCATGTTTTGTTAGCAGCAAAGTAGTTTGGCACACAAAGCATAATACTGCAAAGCATCTAGTTATACTAAACCCTAAACGAACATTAAAACTTACCGGTAAAACTTTTACAGAGTATCTTGTTATATTTGGATCTGCAGCCTTACCCTGATTAAGTGCCTGGCACGCACACGCACACACGCACACACACACACACACAAAAAAAAAAAAAAAAGTATTATCAACTAGATGGCTTGGTATCTTATAAATCAAATGAAAGGCATAGAATCTAAGATACAAAACGAAGTAAGAAGTGTTAAACCTAACAGACATGTAATGGATAGATGTTCACATCAGTAAAATGCATCCATGCCTCTTCACAACAACAGAGATAAATGGAACTATTATACAGAGCACTGATTGTCAGATAATGGAGAACAACTTGTAGCAATAATTAACATTAGGTAGCAAGTAATGAGTATGATGACAGATTGCCAGCAGTAAAAAACTCATGAAAATATAGCATCCAAACCTTCCACCTGGCATATACACGTATACACTATATAACCAAGTAAGAAAATAAAAACTAGAAGGGCCACTATTACATTTTAATCCTCATTTTTCAAGTGCATATTATTCATAAAGGAAGAGATCTTAAAAGAGTGAAACCTCATAGATGCCTCTGTGCAACAAAGTCTGTTCTTTTTAGGTAAAGGAATCATGAAAATGTAGCATTGACTAAAAACAAATGATCTATTCAATTTAAGTCTGATATTTTTGTAACAAAAATGGCAATAGTGGTACCTAGGCATTGCTAACTATTACCACTCTATTAAAACCTAAAAAAAATAACTTAATCAATTACTGCACCTTAGCCAATGCTATTATTCACAGATGCAAGTATGCAACCATCTTCAAGGTCAAGTTCTTTTGCTTATTGTTGAAAGATATAAACCCTAGACCCATTCCTAATAGGAATGGGATTGACTCAATGTTTATATAAATATAAGACCTCCATAGAGTTCAATTCACTGAAATAAAATAAATCCTTATCCTTTCACATGGTATCAAAGCCTACGAAATACCTAGACTTCACTTATTTTTCCAATAGGAAATAATCCAGATCCGCCACTCTACTTAGGCGTGAACAATGGCCTCGATTGCCATTCTTGGAATCCAACATCTCTGGTGATCTTCTATCTCTACCAAAACCATCCCTCTTGAAATCACAGCAACTATACGCCAAGCACCCAACGCTGGCCACCGCTGTACGCGCTCTCATGCACTACCAACAGCCAATGGTGACATGAACTTTTTTGGCCTAGTCTCTAGGTCTCCGTTAACATCATCGTTGGTCCCATTGAACTCGTCTCGACTAGACGAGTCTTGCAGTACATTTTCCTCTCTTCGTCACTGACGGACATTATCACTGTAAGCAATTTTGTATTCTTTGCTGATCATTCTCATGGGATCGTCTACTATTACTTTCACCTCTTTTCCGACCATCCCTACAGATAAATTAATTAGGAGCAATATGCATGTTGTGTAGCATAAACTAAACCTTGGTTTAAAGGTCAAGGTATGTCTAGCCACTTAGAAATAAGCTCGAGGATATCAAAGATAACAAGGGGAATTGGTGAAATTAGATGCACTGTTGTGCAATATGTTACGGCAATCAATTGATTCCAAACTCCACATCATCTATAAGGCTTACGAGACATGTTATGACGTGGCACAAGGCAAAGTCCCTTTATATGAATGATATTCAATGCCTCTACTCCCTTATCTCCAATATGCTTAAATTTTGGTATCCAATAGATATGGATATACCAGAGTTCCCTGGCCAAGTAGAAGCATTGCAACACAAATATAATAATCTATTGCCATATAAAATAAAATATTTATATATTAAAAAAAAAAAAAAAAAAACTATAGATGACTGTGTGAAGGAGTGTGACAAGTTTTTTATGGTGTGAATCTTAGCTACCTAGATTTGGTTCATGTTTGGGATCAAATTTTGGCAAGTCCTAGTATCCACCCTTTGACGGAAGCTATTGCGAGATTGCTTTGAATCAACTATGCTTCATTAATTAAACCTACAAGAGATTCTTATGCCAAAAACAAAGCACCATTTGGTAGTGGTACTCGTTATGGCAACAGACCTCGGAGTGATTATTAGCACAAGTTAGGACATACCAAGGATCATTGCTACAAGTTGCATGGCAAACCTCCTCACTCTGTCAATGTGGCGGCTACTACCTACTGGTTTCAGGACTCGAGATTCTAGTTCTACCATGTTAGTGATGACCCCAACTGAATACGAAGGGTATCTTCAATTTAAGGCCTCCAAACCTTCCACTTCTATAGCAAATACTAGTACTTCATCTCTAGCTTGTGTCTCTCATACTAGTACCTCAGGTACTTGGATTCTTGACTAAGGTACCTCAAATCATATTTCTAGTAATTCGTATCTCATGTCTAATATATCAAAGTCCAAGTTGTTGCCATGCCTAGCACATAGTCATCAGACACCAACTACTAGTGTTGGTCAAGCTTTACCTGTGTCTTCTTTACCAGTAGAATCATGTTTTATATGTTCCTAATAATCCTTTAACCTTGTCTCTGTGAGCAAAATTACTCATTCCCTTTACTGTTCCATACTTCCATAACCTTACCTTTTGTGCAAACTCAGTTGTGTGCAGGATTGTAGCATAGGGAAGAGGATTGGCACCAAGCATGAGTCACGGGGCCTCTATTAGCTTCATGGCAATGTTCTAGTTCAGTTTGTGTTAGCTTAGTCTCCCATGCATCTTCATCATCGTCTAGGCCATCCTAGTCTCTCTAAACTTCAACAAATGGCTCCAGGTCTTTCTATTTTGTCTTTAGATTGCAAGTCATGTCACTATGGAAAGCAATCTAGTAGGTCCTTTCCACGTAGGGTCAATAGTTGAGCTATATCCCTTTTTTATTTAGTTCATAATGATGTTTGGGGTTCATGTTAAGCCACTTCTACTTTGGGTTTTCATTACTTTGTTACCTTTAGCGGTGATTGGAGCAATTCTGAGTGTATAAGTGACTTTAGTAAATTAGCAAATATCTTGACCTCGCCTTGAAAGTCTCCTTAATAGGAGACGCCCGAGCTCACCTCACCCATTTCAGGCGAGGTGAGCTTGTTAGGTGCCCAGTCTCCACCGACCAGATGCCTAGGCGACGCCTTAACAACACTGATACGCTCCAGCTTAAGAGAGAGTGTTGAATAATAGAAACCCAAGAGTCCAAGACCTATTCCTATACAAATGAGATTGGCTCAATGCCTGTATAAATATAGAACCTTTGTATAGTTCAATTCAATACATAAATATAATAGATCTTTATTCTTTCACACCTATTATCAGCTTATGTTAACAATACATATTGAATGTTTAACCTAAGGGTCAATTTGCTTTGTTAGGAAGATTCTATGCAATTACTACACTTTCGTCAAAGCTTGTGACTCTTTCATTTGCAATTGTCACTTTCATTTGACCATATCATGTCTGTTGCTTATTATTGCATGATCCTTGTGTAACTCTAAAGGTTTCCAAAGCAGGTATACAACTTGGAATTCATTAGTACAAGTTTTTTCTGTATCTTAGATTTCTACTACGCAACCATCCAATCCACATATGTCAACAAGCTAGAAATGTTTGATGAATCCACAAACCGCAATCACTACTAATGTCATCTTATATATACATATATAGCAAGGAAAATAAAGTAATTTTCATCAAATTGTGACGAAGTATCCAACAAAGAATGTCAAGTCAAACGTACTTGTTCTGGGCTATGAAATATCTCTACAAAAGGATATTCCTTCCTTTGCCGTGTTATGCAAAACCCAGGATACTTTGGGCACTCAACCTAAATTCCAACAAAAGACCAAAATGTTAAGAAATTCAACAAAGTTAAGGCATGCTAGAAAACTTGAGTACTAATGCTAATGTTTTAAATATTAGACATGAGAAGTCAGAGATTAGAGGAGTAGTGGCAGGCTGAATAAAAAATGAAAAATATGAAATTAAATGTTGGAAAGAAAATTTTTAGATGAACAAGAATCATATATACAGTTGTTGCCTGTTGGACGTCATCATTGTAAAAAAAACAAAAACATTTCTACTTAAAGGTCTGCAGGAAGATCAAGTGAATTAAGGGGGCGATAGGTCACACCCATGTGGGAGGAGAGAAGGAGAGAGAGAGCAAATAGTTGCAGTGCTATGGATATGAATGTCTCTAGCCTCCCATTGCTTATTGTTAGAGAAAATCAAGAGGAAATTAGAGGATGTTTTTCCTGGCCTTGGGTTTTAATTTTTGAATCTTGTTGTTGCATTTCCTAGCTAGTGCGTATAAATTGGACCTTGTACAGCTTCATTCAATATATAGAAAAACATGAGTTCATCTGTTTTACACTTATAAAAGGTAAAAACCCACTTACACGTAAAAAATTTACATTCGGATAAAACTCAGCTGCAGCTTCCTCCAATACTTTGTCAAGATGTCTTGTATAGTTACCCCTATGAAAAAAAAAAAATGTATATATAAACACACACATTATTTAAAATTTCGAAAAAAAAAATATAAGATTTGGATTTAGCAATAACAATGATAAATTAGAGAAAAGAAAGGGATGGGAAGAATCAACTTGGAATTACTTGACAGTGAATGCAACAACCACAGGATGTCCTCGATGAAGAAGCTGGACAAACTCCCGCTCTGAGGTAAAGTGAATAACCTTTGATGGTCCAAGATCCTTCGGGTAGCCAGTGTAGTACCTTTAATTTAATAAATACATTTAAGTTACTTAGGACTAATTAATTGGACTGCGACGTCATAATGAAATATGAATACACAGTCAGTATAAACTTTCCAATTCATATTAATTCCAGTGAAGTTGACAAATTATAAGCAAATTAACTCCCTAGGCCATGCTTATCACATTAAAACTGCTACCAATAGAAAGTTAATACAACCAAGTTTTTTATACTAGACTAGAAAAGAATGAAAATCCAATGCACACAAGATAGAACATGCTGAGTCAGAAGATAAAATGAAAAAAAATCTGCATTTTGCAAATACAGAATGAATGCTATACTTCTTGTTTATATGCCCATAAGCTAATATTTTAGACTAAAATGTTTCTAGGGCAACTTCACATGAAGCTTCACTAGGAATATATTCTCTCTCTCTCTCTCTCTCTCTCTCTCTCTCTCTCTCTCTCTCTCTCTCTATATATATATATATATATATATATATATATATATATATATATTGTGTGTGTGTGTGTGTGTGTGTTGTATGTGTGGGTATACATGTATGCACATCAAGATTGAAGAAAAAAAAAACAGCAGGTAATGTAATTCGAATCTGAGAGGCATACTCACTTGCAAGTAGCACGAAGATTTATCATCAATTTACTGAAAAGGGTTTGCTCCTCCATTACACTGAAAGTAAAAGGCAAACAGAAATAGAGAAGAAACATATGAAAAGAAAGCACATAATTACTTGAATCATAAAATGACAAAAAACAGGCTGCAGCAGTTGGTTTCGCATTGCATGGTTGACCACATATAACAACTAATGCCACGCACAATCAGAAATACAATCTTTTAAGTCTATTCTTTTCTGCTTGAAGATATAGAAAGATACACTTACTCTAGAGATTATTCATGAAACACAATTCACTTGCAAAGAAGTAAAAAACAATTAACTATGTAAGTGTGAGCACAGTGCTAATTGATGTACATCCTAACACCTTACTTTGCAAGAGATGAATGAGGTGGTCAGCGACATAGGAACACACACTCTATACTCGGTTAAAAGATTACTTCCATAGTTACACTGTATTTTTTACATAATACAGCCAGTTTCTGCACCCACGTAGATGCTCAAACTGAATCCTTTTAAATTTAAAAATTTTCACCACTATTAAGCTACATTAAAGTTCTTAATTTTGATATTTAGATAGTAAAAATTGCAACATGAAAACACCTTAGATCTCCAAGCAAAAGAATAATAGAGATAAATCAAAAGGCTTCATTTAAGTATGAAAGAATCATATCAGAAAGGAATTGAAATTTTGACCTCTAAGTCAATTCATGCATTTGGTATGCCCATTTCAGGCCCTTCCTTTTTCTTTTATTTATTTATTTATTTATTTATTTATTCTATACTAAATGGAATGAATATTTACTTGATAGAATAACAAATTCAGACTATATTTCGTCAAATTAACTTGAACATATTTAATAAAAAAATATCAGTTCATTTCCAAGTTTCTTGCCTTTCCACCTTACCATACATTAATACATACCTAGGATCATTATTTTTCTTGAAAAGAAAATAATCTCAACACCATTATTAACTTTAAGCATCCCAACAAATAATGTCAGACAATCAGTACAGATTGCGGAACTCCCTTAACCCTCCAACACTCCAATTTCCTTTTTCCTTTGTTTTTCCTTCAATGAACGTGCAGCTCTATATAATTGCCACTTCCTCCCCTACTCTATCTCTCTTTACCCGTTAGTTTGTGAATCCAAGTCTTTAATCGAACAGTTGGTGGGCACAAAATAACTGCAGATTATACAATATCCAAAATGTGTGGGCACAAGAAACTGGATTACTTACCTGAGAGTAACAGAACGCGGCAGATTTTGCTTCACAATAACGCAGCCAAACCGGGAAGCGAGGCGAAAACGAGAAAGGAAAATTAGAGAAAAAGCTTATTCTAGTTCTAAGCACAATATGGGCTCTCGGAAACGCAGGGGTTTTGACAGAAATGGAATATTTCAGGCATGTCGACAAAAATGGCCGTTTGTTAATAGAAAAATAGTTGAAATTGAATTGAATTTGAATTATGGGCAAAGGAAAATATTTTGGAATACAAAAATATTTGCAAAATTATTTGTATTATAATAATTTATAATATTGTTAATTCAATAATAAGTAAATGTTCTAATAATGAAATAATTTATAATATTTTTAATTCAATAAAAAAAATGGTAGTAATGTGAATTGAATTCATAACGATTGAATTATAAAATTAAAAAAAAAATGATTTAACATATCATAAAGAAAAAAATACAAAAGCCCTACTATGGGATTTAAAAAAAAAAAAAAAATTGACAATTTCCTCAACGATGACGATGTCTCATATAGTCCATTTCATTTTGAAACCTACTCTTTTGTTGTTGTCCTTTATGACTTTTGCGGCACACATTTGAGGGTGGTAGAATAATTACCCTACTGTTTCGATGATATTTTTGAGTTGTCACTAGATAAAGATCACTAGCATGACACATTCTATAATAGTTTAAAGTAAACACTACAAGCACAAAGGGGTCTGGAACATTTCTCTAAAAATGACATGTTTCTAAGATATGCGCACAAGGCAAGCTGTCTACCGCCCATTCACCGCATGTGCGTGTCTTCTGATTCAAATTAAGTTCATGAAATATTACATTGGGCCAAGAAATGCACGGTCTATCAAGAGCAACCTCGTAAAGCCCAATCTGGTGATTATATGGTTTAACGGTAGTAATGTACTTGAATTGTTCCCTTGCTGACATCTCTTTAGACATATTCTTCAGCCAACGCAAGCCGGCTTGTAGCATTAAATCCCCGACAACATGCTTGTTTAAAAACATAACAACTAACTTAGCTTGTTGAACGTTAACCGAGCTATAGCAGTTACAGACAACATTCGACATGGGTGGAGATGTCACTAACGAGGTGGAAATGTCACTAACTTCATTCTTCCCTGTTTCTCTTTTTTTTTTTTTTTTATACAACTAAAAAAAATAAAAAAAATAAAAAAAAGAAGCCAGGCTAGCTACTTTAAAACTACTGAAAGAACAGCTTGAATTTGTAATATATATAAAAGAGAGCTCATATGTGGTCATGTCATTAGGTGTGGCGATGTGGTCGTATCTGTATCATTGAATTAGTTTAATCTAACGGCAGTGACTAATTATAAGGATTTTAGTGCGTTTTGGTAAGTGGGGGTGTTATGGTAATTACAGTGGCCATTTATAGCAGCCGGGTTCCAAAAATACACCAACAGTGTTGACAACATGCACCAATAGTGTAATAAAACACACCACAGTGAAACACACCAATAGTGTATTCCCGAACACTGTATGGTGTATTTATTCATATCTAATTGCGCGTTTTTGGTGATGCAAACCTAATTCATGTATGTTTTTTGGTGTGCATTTCATAACATGGATGATGTATATTTATATAACGTACAATTGGTGCGGTCGCATTGACCACACAGGAAGGCGTTGCCGCACCTGAACTTGGCACCAATGGGAATCTACAAATACACCAGGGTAAGGCTAATAATGCACCAATTACACAAATAAAACACACAACAATGTGATTTTTCCTATTCTGGTGCCCTATGACGAGTTTACCCTTGCAGTTCGCTGGGTAGGAGAACGTGAGCGAAAATACTGAAAGAATCTTGATTAATGTGATTCATTAGATCTATCTAATCTAATGACATGTAATTGACCATATGACCGCACCTAACAATATGACTGCACTTGATCTCCCCCCTCTCTCTTTCTGTGTGTGTGAAACCATTCCAGCCAGGCTAGAAAAAAACAGCCAGCCAGGTTCTCCTAAATATGTTTTTACTAAAACTAAAATTCCTAAACATCATCTTTTTTTTTTTTTTTTAATACTAAAACTATAATACCATATATATCATAAACGTTACGTTTTTTTACTAAAACTATAATACATTAATACCATTACTGTTTTTACTTATTTCACAATAATAATGCATGCATTTAGTCTAAAACTACATTATTATTACCGTTTCATTTTTAATTCAACAAATATGTAGTTTTACACTACTAACTTTTTTATAAATAGTGTTCCGCACATGATTAATATATAAAATTACTAAAAACTTAGTTCAGCATGCAATACAAAACTATATAATATAAATTAACTAAAGGGAAAATGGCACTTCTTCCCCCTAAGTTATATACTTATAGCACTTTCTCCCCTTGAATTATTCAAGTGACTGTTTTTTTCCCTGAAATGTTAAATGGACATATTTACCCTTAAAATAAATATTTAAAATAAATATTTCATTTATTTTCCTTCTCCAACAAATTATGACAATAATTTGGTTCAAACCAAACAAACACTATAGCAACCAAACTGAAATATTCCAATTACAATTTAGAATCGAAACTCGATATTTAGAGTTTATTAAAATCGCGAACCGGAACGGACGATTCATGTACCGAACTGAAAAAATAAAATATATTTATTGTTGAATTTAGACTATTTAAAATAAAAAATAAAATTTTAAAATAAAGACGGTTCAAAATTGCGAACCGGATCCAGAACCGCCGATTCACGGTTCAACATCCAATTTTTTTATTCATAATTTTAATAAATTGAAATCCAAATATTAGGTTCTAGATCTGAATCATAACCGAAAACTTTTAATTCAATTGCTATAGTGTCTGGTTCAGTTTGATCTGAACCGTGGTCATCCCTACATATACGCGATAATTTGTTGGAGAAGTAAAATAAATAAAATGTTTACTTTAAGGGTAGAAATGTCAATTTAATATATCAGGGAGGAAAAATCACCACTTTTAGAATAATTGAGGGGGCTAATGTGCTTACCTAAATAATTAAGGAGAAAAAATGGCTATAAATATATAACTTAGGGGGAAAAAGTGTCATTTTCCCTTAACTAAAATATAAATACCTCGCCAAAGTTTGCCTAAAAATGCAATGTTGGAAAAGTATTGTGTGCTACCACCATCGAAATGCCGTTACAAAAATTAACATGTCTCCGCCGCGCCGTACGTAAAATGTATTACCGCTAAAAAAATGTTTGGTCGCCGGAAAATTTGTCACTCGCCTAAAAATGATACTACGTGAGTTATTTGCTTCTTGAGGGGTTGTGAGAAAACTAAGGAAGAGAGTGCAAATTTGAGAAAATAAAATTAAAGGAAAAGAGTTTAAGGAGTAAAAATGGTGAAGAAGAAGAAGAAGAAGAGATGTATATATATAAGCTGTACGAGAAGGGAAGGAATTTGCAGTTGTGTACTAGCTCTATATGTATATATTGGTAAATGGTAATAAAGCTTTGTACTGTATATGTAATGCAACTTTGTACTGTATATGCAATGCGCTTTGTACTGTATATGTATAGCTTTAGCTTTTGTAATTATTCAGCTGAGAAAACGGTAAATGTATTATTACTTTCTTTATTTTTATCCAATTTTTTTAAAATCCATATTTTTGTCCATTGCATCAAGTTTCTCGGCAACCAAAGGATCAGCCCCAATTTCCCCGGCCACCTCTGTGCCTGAAGACTACGTCACGTGTAAAATTTTCCCAAATAATATATATATTAAGGCCTTAATTGAGGGGTGCAAGTGAGCTAGATTTATTGAGTGGTCTGGTTGGACTGAATAACTAGAAGTTATTATTCAATTGTCTAATATAAACCTGGATTGATTGGATATAGAATATAATATTCAGCACATTCAGCGACAAAAAACCGGAATCTCAACAAAGTCTTCTTTGAATAATTTGACTTGTCTCAATGTTATAACGTATATATCCAAACATTGTCCGGATCTTTCTTATGCTGGCCCCATCTTAGGTCAATGTCATTCTCTACTTAGTTCTTTTGAGAATGTTATTTGTAGTTTTTACCTCGTTCAGCAAACCGATTGGCCCACACTCTAGGCAGAGACTTCGACTCTCAGTCTATACGTCTCACTGGGAGATAAATCCGACCCCCTAAATTGCCTCGCTCAGTTTTTATAGTAATCTTATGATTTTTCTGTTTTCATTAAAAAGAAAAAACACAAGCACAACATAACATGCTAAACAATTAAATAAATGGAAGTCGATTTAACCAATTCATCTTTTTAAATTATATACAGGGTTGTAAAAATCAATCTAGGCGCCCGCCTAGGTCCCGTCTAGGCGCTAGGCGCCTCTAGACCGTGGCGATTTTCCCCCTAGGCGCCCGCCTAGCGCTTAACTTGGCCGATTTGGCCGCCTAGCTTCTAAGTTAGTCGAGTTAACTCGTCCATTTCGGTCGAGTTAACCTGATCGGCTCGGTCTATTTTTTTTTATTATATATATGTGTGTTTGCGTGTGTGTGTATGCGCGCATATATATATAATATGACATATATACACTCGTAAACTAGTTTGATACTTTCAATCTTTGGATGATTGAAGTATTTGAGTATTTCATATTTGAGTATTTTTAATTTTTAATATTGTTTTAATATTTTTTTTTTTTGAAAACCATTGTTTTGATGTTATGACATATGAATTATCATTAATTCATTTATTTGGATGTGTTATTTGATTAAATGTTGAAAACAACCTCATAAAAATTAACAAACTGCAAGTCTACCACTGTTTTTTTGGCGCCTGTCTAGCGCTGCCTAGACCGCCTAGGCGCTAGGCACTGTCCAGGCGCCCGACTAGCGCCTAGCGCCGACTGCAACCATGATTATATATATAGAAAATTAATTTAATGGCGGAATAAATTATGTATCACTTAAAGGATAATTAGAGCTGAGAATATACTACATCAACCTAAGAAAAGTCGAAGCAATTTTTTTGGTCCAACTACTCCACATGAAAATATGCAATAAGTCAAGTCATGGCTGGCTTGGCTGCTACAATAACTATGAGAATTTTCCATACATGCATGCATGCACTTTGGAAATTAAAAGAGGATGAAAAGAAATTCTTATATGATCTTATCCACAAAAAATCGATCTGAACAAAACTAGCAATAAAATGTAAACGAAATATATTATTATATTCTTTTTGT